CCACTTAAAAACTCCCCAAACAGCAAAAAGTGCAACAAAAATATATCGTTGGCTGCAGGAATCGAACCCCTGACCTGTTGGTCAGTAAGGAAGAGTTTAGCAACATAACCAGTTAGACTATGCTGGTTTCGATGATACAAAAGGAGCCGAGTCATTAATGAGCTAATGACGTCGGCATTGCACCAGCAGCTAGCTTGTTTATGGAGCCGGCTTTGGAACTTGAGTTTCTTCCTTTCAAAGCTACTGCTCCTTAGAAGGCCGCCCCAGGCCTTTACTCCATCTGCTGGAAAGTGAATGAAGAGGTAAGAGCATGAATCAAAGAGCTATATTATACCGGTAAGCTAGCTCTCCATTTTTGCCTTCATACAAACACCAAGAGGAGAAAAGAAAAGAAATAATATGAAACCAAAGCCTAGCATAGTCTCTGTATTCCCAGCAAAGGTTTAGAACCTATACAAACCTGTTTACAAGCCAAAATCACCAAACCAACTCACCAAATATCCTTTACCGAAACATTTGCCGTAACCTTTTCGTCAACCAAACCAGTGCCACTATAGGCAGCATCAGCTTCGAAGCTTGATACCGCTACGAAGAGCAAGTCACCACGAGCATCACAGAGTTTACGGAATTGAATTCCGAGCTCAGACGAGGGAGAAACAAGGCCGGGAAGTTGGTACTTGAGGTAAGGGAATTTCCAGTTTTCTGCAGATTTTGGACAGCAGAAAATTAAGAACTAATCCCTAATTTCGTACTAACGATGATTAGCTCGCAGTTTCTTCGTTTGACGTCCAAACGACGAACCGTTTTCGCCTATAGGACCGTAGAAACAAGGAGAATTTTTAGGAGCCAATCTCTGGAATTTTAGAACTTAATTCCCGACTTGGAATCAGCTAAATTAAGGTGTGTGGGGATTAAGAGGACCTTAATTATTGCATCGATTATTTATGTTTGATTTGCATATTTGGATGGATGGATTACTGTGGGTGATGACTTATTTGTTGATATGATGATTTGGTGATTATTCTTGATTGTTATGGATTTTACGGTGTAAATATCGATATTTGGCAAGTTTCCCCGTAAAAATGAATAGTTGGGTTTATTGAGTCTAAAACTGATTTAAGAGATTTTTGTTTCTCTAAAATGAGGTTGGGGCAGGTTGAGCAAAATATTTCACTTGAAAATGGTTTTCGGATTAAAAACTGCATAACGGTGAATTTTACGAAAAGCTCGGTAGAAACGTGTTTTTATTTATCTTTAAGATTTGGATCACTTCAAAATGGTCAGTGTGGATTATTAAATGGTTTTTGGTCTGAAAAGGGTAAATTAGACAGTTGGTGGAGTTTTTATCTTTAAAACGGTAAAAATGAGCTTAATACGAGATTTGCGATAAATACCGAGTGTAATATTATATTCATGGTTTTGAGCAGTTGAAAAATATAAAAACTGGACAGACCTGTTTTATGATGATAAATGGAGGTTCTTGTATTTTTGGGAGATTTTTGGATTTACCGTTTTGTTGGAATTTAATTTATCGTAAAATAATGGTTAATACGAGATTTTTGATATTTTATTGTCTAAATTGATTTTTATGAACAAAACTAGATTAAATGGATTTTTGTGTCAATAAATTCATTTACATGAATTTTGTGAGGATTTTAATGAAGGAAAGTGAATTTTGAGTTAAGGATATTTTTAACCGCAATCGGGTTATTTATAATTATTTGTGTTGGCGCTATTTCGTGAAATTGTTGATAAATTTTGGATGAGGAATGGTGACATGGTACTGCTGAGTAGCTTTATTGGAGAATGAAATGATTTATGTGATTCGGTATTGGATGATGAAACAGTTGATTTTTTTTGAAACGTCGAGTTGATAATCGACGGGAAATATATATATGGATTTGGTCAATCCGTGAGACTACATTGATTCCGGATTGATTGTGATGGATGAGAAAAATGGAAATAGTTTGATTCGTGATCATATTAATTCACGTAGACATAGAAAGGGCCTGCACTTACCCTCACCCCTTGAGAGTGGGTAGATTTAGCTCGCTTATGCGATTGAGTGTTGTGGTTGCATGAGCACCACGGATGAGTGTTGTGGTTAAAAACCACGGATTGAGTGTTGTGGTTGCATGAGCACCACGGATTGAGTGTTGTGGTTGCATGAGCACCACGGATGATGATTTGCTCGAGCGGGGGTAAGTGTATGGTGACCTTGGCGCCATTAATAATTAACCGGAATTTTCATATCATGCATTGATTATGTGTTCGTGAAATTACGTGATTATCTTATTGAATAAATTGATTTGGTGATGATGAGTTGGTGGATTCGATAATTTGATCGGTAATTTATATATGATGATTTAAGATGGCATCTAGAGTAATAAATTATGATTGTTTGATTAGCTGATTGCGGTCCCAAAATTTGGTCGTGGGAAAGATCCACACACACAGCTTAGTTGCTGACCCACGTCTGTTTTCAGGCTCGCAGGTGCAACTAGGATCGGACTACTGAGGCTGCCCTATCCTTCTGTACTACCATCATGAGGTAGTTTGGAACACTGTTCTGTCATGGTCACCTAGGATTTTTGCTTTGAGTGTTTGAATAATAAACCCACATTTTGTAAAAATTCAATAAGTGGGTTGGGATTCGAATAATGAGTTTGTATGATAACGGTTTATGTTTGTGTTTAATTATCGGATATGATGTTTGAGATGATCGAGTTCAACCAGTAACACCGATGATTTGGCTGCGCGGTTGAACCACGGGTTCAACCATAGAGATTATGGGTGGGGTGTTACAGTTCAATTGTAAATTATGATTTCAAATCTAAGACTTATGAATACAACTATATTTCACTAAGAAACATAAAATAAATAAATACTCAAACTATCAACAAGATATACGAAACATGAAAGATCTGGTATTGGGTATTTGGGTTTGTGGTTTGTTAAAAGAATGCTGGTGCATCCAATTTTAGAATACAACTATATTTCACTAAGAAACATAAAATAAATAAATACTCAAACTATCAACAAGATATACGAAACATGAAAGATCTGGTATTGGGTATTTGGGTTTGTGGTTTGTTAAAAGAATGCTGGTGCATCCAATTTTAGAGTACAATATTATGCCTCAAAATTTAGTTCATTCAAGGTCTAGATATCATTTTATCACTAAGAATATGCGGTGTACAAAGTCCTATAATCAAATGAAAATAATGCAGATAGATGCTCATCACATCACTCACGTCCATATAATTTCAATAATGATTTAATTAATTGTTTAGAAAAGGCTCTTCTTTAGATTACTGACATTAATTAATTATTTTTATTTTTCACCCTTAGGAATCTGATAATTGTGCAACCACATCACTTTTTATATATAAATAATTAGATAAATGCCACATTTGGTCACTTGGATTACTAAAACGAGTCATGTTTAGTCACTAGAAAAATTTAATATACATCCATCATCTTAGATTCAATGAAGACCAGACGCAATAATATCAAAACTTTTTCTTCTTTTAAGAGTCGTAATATACGAAAGCATTTGTTAAAATGATACAGTATAGATCGCAAATCTTTTCCGGCCCGGCGGCGCACCGGTCGCAAAAAAAATTCGGCCCGGCGGCGCGCCGGCCGCAATTTTTTTTCCGCCCGGCCAGTTTTTGTATTTAATTTAATTTAATATGTTAATTAATTAGTCAATAAAAAATTACTTAATTAGTTATTAGAAATTAGTGTTAATATTTTTTTTAAGTTGGTGTATAAATGTTTTTTTTTTGTAATAGGCGTATGAATCTTTAATTACTTAGATTAGTTAATAGAAAATTAAATAATTAAGAATTGGTTTAACAATTAATGTTAATAGTACATTAGTTAATAGAAAATTAGTTAATTAGTGATTAATTAACAATTAATGTTAATAGTACATTAGTTAATATAAATTTAATTAATTAGTGCGTATCTAAGTATGATATTGATTAATTAGTGATTAATTAACAATTAATGTTAATAGTATATTAGTTAATAGAAATTTAATTAATTAGTGATTAATTAAGTGATTAATTAACAATTAATGTTAATAGTATATTAGTTAATAGAAATTTAATTAATTAGTGCGCATCTAAGTATGATATTAATTAATTTGTGATTAATTAACAATTAATGTTAATAGTACATTAGCTAATAGAAATTTAATTAATTAGTGCGCATCTAAGTATGATATTGTGTAAATTTGTAGATAATTAGATATGGATGATGCGGGTGGGAGTGAGTTGGGTAGATTCAATGGTAGGGTTGTTGATGCATCAACACGAAGGAAGGTGCCTAAGAAGAATAAGGAGAAGAAGCGCTCTCGAGATATTGGACATCAGTCAGAGGCTCCGACTGTAGTTGCTCATTCGTCATGACGGGCGTCTGGTTCCCATGGGGGGAACCAGGGTGCTGCATCGAGAGTGGTCTCGGCTGAGTTTGATGAGGACGATAATGATGAGGATATCGAGGTCCCTCCACCTATGCGTGGACATGGACGAGCGCAGGATCGTACGGCAACATCACGTCCTGCTATGTATAGGGACCGAGCTGGGCGATTCGTACCACCTGCTCGTGAGGAGACAGAGAGCTCGGGGACTGGACGGAGTAGGGGAGGACGTTCGAGTGGTCCTCCACCGTGGGAGCTTGTTGGTGAGTGTCCTGGTGGACCTACGGATCCTAGCCTCATTAGGAGCTTCCGTGGCCACGCTTCCTATGCACTTTGGACGGGGCTTGGAGATCGAGGGGTCATCAGTTGCTACACCCGTACAGGGGTGGTTGACTATCTTGGGAGCTACGTGTTTAGTCATGTTGAGGCGGAGGATCTGGTTCAGCAGTCAGGTCTCCAGCACCTGATCTACTCTATGTTCCGCAGGATAGCGATTGACGAGGCTTTGATCTCAGCTTTTGTGGAGAGGTGGCAGCCAGACACGAACACCTTCCACTTGCCTTTTGGAGAGATGACGATCCTCCTCCACTATGTTCAGTACTTACTGCAGATTCCTGTTGAGGGACGACTGATGAGTAGGACTTCTGCGCAGCTTGACCATCCGGAGGTGGGTTTGTGTGCGCTTCTTGGGATGAACTCGGAGCAGTTGAGTGGTCGTTCGGAGGCCCCTGGATTTGGTAGTAAGGGTAAGTGGTACGAGAAGGGTGGTTTTCTTGCGGAGATGGCGTCCAGATACTTGCAGGTGAACGGGACACATGTGACAGAGGCGCAATCGTACTTGTTGTTGATGTTGAGGTCCACTTTGTTTGTGGACAAGAGTAGAGACAGGGTTCGGCCGGTGGTGAACCTATTTTTGGACGAGTTGGAGGAGATAGATCAGTACAGTTGGGCGTCCGGTACACTTGCTTGGTTGTACAGATGCCTTGGTCAGGCGTCTCGTGCTGGTGCCAGGGGGTGGCTGGTTGTCTCACACTTCTGCAGTGTTGGATCTACGAGTACTTTCCGGGTTTCAGGCCATCTCACTTTGAGCCACCTGTCGTTGGACCTGATGAGGCTTGGGCTTCACGATGGATTGGGCAGCCGGCGACTGGTTCTGTGGCTGATCCCAGTGTGAGGTTGACGTTCTACCGTCGAGCTCTTGACATCTTGACCCCTTCTGATGTGTTTTGGACACCTTTCCATCAGAGGCCTCATCAGGCAGTGCGTCGCTCTTTGTACACTGGAGTGATTCGGTTCGCGGATATAGGCGAGTTCTATGATCCAGCCCATTGCCTCCGACAGTTTGGATACCGACAGATGGTACCGCCTCCCCCTTCGCGTCCTCAGCGAGCAGACCGACCAGAGGCACCTGATGGATATGTCATTCGGATTCCTGAGAGTTTTGATGCTGCATGGGATGCTCTGCTATCCCACATGGTTCATATAGACATGTACTCTCAGCCCTGGAGGACGTATCCATACCTATTCGTCTTGTAGGTCGAGTCAATGATGATGACGTACGGCCATGCATGCAACATCTGAATGGACGTCGGGTGCACAAAAAACAGATTAGTGAGCACATTATTAGAGTCCTTTTGCAAACAGATATGGTACCCACGTTGTTCAGCTCCATGAAGCGCAAACTGTATCGCATCCATTTCACCCATCTCATCCAATCTGTTCTTGTAATTTATGTTGTACATCTGTTTGATATCATGACTCACACCCCCTTCAGTATTGAGTGTCGTCTTCTGCTGATTTGGTCTCACCCCCACCTTCCTCATTAATCTTAACCTCTCTTTTTCAGCCTCACTAAACTGTTTATTGTGTCGTTGATGTTCTGGATACAACACCTTTTCATGGTTGTGAAACCCTCTATTAGCTTCGATTTCACGACTTGTCACTCCCACTAGGACCCATGTGTTTGGACCATCCTTTTGCCATACTTCCTTAATACATATCTAAAACTGGAAACCAGTACCCTTCGAACTAATATTCCCACGCGTCTCCTTCGTAGGGTCTGCATTAGCCAAATTCTGGCAGTTTTCAGCTTTCCAGACACACTTTTGAACAGCCTGGAAATGACCTTTTGAACTTCCTCTCGAGCTCCAGAGCATACCAATGGATAGATAAACATCTCATCTTCAAAACAAATCATCAAACGCGAATTTACACCGAGCCAGTTGAGATCTATGGTCTCCCAATGTAGGCACCCTGAAACTGCCAAAACACTTATTTTCACCCTTCTTTGGCCAATTGAGATAGCAGCAGCATGCACCTGCTTTCACTGCAAGTTTAGTACTTTTCTCTTTCTCTGTAGGCATGCAGACATAGGCGGAGGCAACCATGTTTGGCATTTTTCCAGGACAGGGGTAAATTTTGGAAGGCACAAAAATACTTCGTATGTGTTTATACTAAGGATGGAACACAACACCAATACAACGTATTTTGTCACTATATCATAACTCATTACTTGATTATAAATGACATTAGATTAATTTATTATACTACAAACGAAATCTCAATTTGAATATGTCTCTTTTCTTCATATGCCTATTCGATTATTTGCCCAACAATCTTGAAGCAGTCTAGTGGTAGCGCAAATTCCACTAGTTTTGACGACAAGTGTAGGTAATATATTTTCAACTTTGAGCTATATCAAGAACGAACTTCGAGATCGAATTCACGACCAGTTTGCTAATGGTTGTTTAGTGAGATTCATTGAAAAGGACTTACTTAATAGTGTAGACAATGAATGCATTTTGTGTTTCTTTCAGAGTATGAAAAACAGTCATGGTTGTTTATGAAAATACTGATTGTATTAGTCGTTATCTTTTATATATGAAAATAAATTATTTAGATATTATTAGTTTAATTATATTTATTATATATTTATATATTTATAATCTGAAAAGAGGACAGGGGCAGTTTCAAATCCTGCCTCCGTCACTACATGCAAATCAGTTTATTAACCTAATTGGTCTCAGATCCTACAACCATTTTATGAAGACACTGTTGAGCCGAGAAAGGTCCGTAACAAACTATTTTACGTCTTTCTTCGATCAAGAACAACTTACCTTCCATGTTCCATCTAACTCTAAGGAACAAACGGGTACGCTTACGAGTCCTTCGGATGATGGTGAGGCATCAGCGAGTCTTATTGCGGCTTGATTTTCTTTGCGCATTTCATAACTGGTTTTAGAGCACTAGAAGGAGCAATCACCAATATGGAGCAGCAGGGCTCCAGATAGGGTCCGTAACCACTCAGCCATCAGATTTAAGTAGGCACAGAAAATACAAATATAAGGATGGAGAATTAAATGCATTTTTATTTTTTCTTGTTTTCTTAATCGGATCATATCTTTTTCATTTTAACTTGGATTTCAATTTTTTTGGCATAGATGGAACGAGTTTGTTGTGCTCTACAAAATGAGATCCATTTTCAATATTTTTTTAGAAAAAAAATTCTTGCCTCTCGTTACCAACTATATATCATATGGTATGTTTTTAAGTCGTTTTTTAAAATTTTTCATAGAATGAACGAGTTCATCATGATCTATTGGATCTACAAATTTCTGAGTGAACAAAATACATGACCAAAAATACCATACTATACCACCTTGGTATGGGGTGGTATCTTGTGGTACACAATGTTGAAAGCCGTAAATGACAATTAGTATACTCCTGCTATCATGTATTCAATCATTCTACAGTCTTGATATGTTCATATCACCATGGTAAGTTTTTTCATACTATATGATATGCTCTTATTTAATACCAGTCAATACCATATGGTATATAATGGTGAAAAATGGCTCAATTGTTATTGTTCTAAAAATATATCAAAGTGGATATCATTTTTAAGAGCACAATTAATATGATCTAACTGTGCAAAAAATTTAAATTCTAACTTAAAACGAGTGAGAAATCGTCCGTTAAACATTAAGGAGAAAAAATTAAAGACTTTTCGAAAGAGAAGTGGTGTTGATGTGGTGGATGGTGATTAAGCTATGTATAGTTACTCACCACAAGATTATACATGAGATCCGTTCCCGGAATAACAGCCATTATCACCACAAGATTATGCATGAGATCTGTTCCGGGTCAGCAGCCATCATCTAGATTCTACAGGTTCTAGTCACCTACTTGCTCTGGTAGCATGGACTCTGGAGCTTGAGATCCTAGTCACTCATGGGCTGAAGCCCAAACATCTGCTAACCAAGGCCCAGGCAGCCTTCATTGGGTTTGGGTCCTTTCTTCCGGTACTAATATATTTCAATGTGTGATTTTGGTTGAATTTTTAGTTTAAGATTTGGAATTTGAAATCAGACTTTACTTTTGTCACCGCCCCACTTGATTCAACCCAATGTTCAATGAGAAATTAATCAAATTATAAAGAAAAGAGTATGTACCTTTCAATTGGCCATTCATTTAACAAGACGATACCATTAAAGCAATACACCAGATACTTCCAAAATGAGTTAAAATAAGGTTCCACAATCGCAATGGTTGAATTACCAAGGTTCCATAATTCAAAACCTACTTGATTCTGTAGATATGGCTAGGCTGGTGAATGATGAACTTCAAAATGGATGAACTACGAAAGTTCCATACTTCAAAACCTACTTGATTCTATAGGTTTTCCCTCTTCAAAAATAAACTATTTAAACTATTTAAGCGAAAAGAGGTTGGTCTAGTAGTACTACCTAATCTACAACGTGAAAGTCTCAGGTTTGAATATCTTAATCAACACCTATCATACATGACATACAAGTATTAGGGCATTCAATTTATAAATTATTTTAGAATTTAGTTTATGGGTTCAACTATTTTAGAACAAAAAATGAGCTTACCTCGAGCCGAACTTGTGAGCTAATTGATGAGTCAAACACGAGTAGAGCTCGTAAACTTATTATCAACAAATCAAGTTCGAATCAAACGACTCATTTATTAACAAACTGAAACCTATTTAAATTAAGGGTTAATATATTTGTATGGCCTGAACTTTGACCAAAATAAACATCCTGGCCAATTTTTTCGATCTATAACATCCTGACTCAAACTATACATCAAAATAACTAAATTGGCCAAACCCGACGTTTGACCGTTAACTTGGACGGTCAAACGCGTTGACTAACGGTCAACGCGCTATGTCACTACCAAGTACCAACTCAGCAAATATAAATTTAAAAAAATCATGAATTCCACATAATCTATATTTCTGAATTGTTATATTTAAATTAAAAATTAAAATTAAAATAATAATAAAGGACTCACGCTGCCCTTTCTCTTTCTTGCACCTTTTCTTTCTCTTCCTTCTCCGCGACGATCTCTGTCCCCAACAAGGAGGTCGTCGCCTGCGCCTGGCGACGAGGGGAGTTTCAAGAGATTGGAGCGTGGGATCAACGACGGGAATGATGTCGCTGAGTCCGTGTTCCAGCAACAGGAGTTTTCGCAGCATCGGAACCAGAGGTGAGTGAGTCTTCCTCTAACGATTTGCGAGGCTCTGACGTTCAGATATGAGTTGGTGGTTGAAGAACAGAAGGAAGATGAAGAAGAAGGCTACAATAGCCCGGAGATGCGGCGGAGGAGCTATAGAAGGTATCATGGATTTGAGAAGATCGATTTCAATTATTGATGAGATTTGAGAAGATCGATTTCGCCGCCAATTTCAGATCCCAGAACAAATGGACCATTGGAGCTCAATTTTCCTCTTGGAATGAGTTTTCTAGCCGCTAATCGTCATCAATTCCAAGCGGGTTTTTTTATTGAGGCTTAATGGAAGAGCGCCGTAGATGAAGAGTTCCAGCGGTGGCGACGACAAAGTGGGGAAGAAGGCTTCCAGTGGTGGCGACGACGAAGTGGAAACAATTGGGGATTTCTCTGCACGGTCGGGGCATCCATCGTGTACGGGCTCCTGCTGACCCTGACCGAGTCTTCTTCGAAAAGGTGGTGAGTGGACGTTCAAGGTGATGGTGGACGTACTGGTGTTCCCGCTGGCGGTAGCCAGTGGTGCGGGGCTGTTCGACAACACGGAGTGGAAGGGGAGAGAAGATTGAGGGGTTTAATTTCTTTTTTTTTTTACTTTTAATTTTCTGTTTAAATTTTATTATAATAATTCAAAATTACATAATATGTGGAATTTAGTAAATTTTTAAGTATTTTTATGCTGATTTGGCACTGACAGTCAACGCGTTTGACCGTCCAAGTTAACTGTCAAACGTCGGGTTTGACCAATTTAGTTATTTTGATGTATAGTTTGGGCCAGGATGTTATAGATCGAATAGATTGGTCAAAATGTTTATTTTTATCAAAGTTCAGATTATACAAATATATTAACCCTTAAATTGACATCAATAACCTCATCTCATTTACCAACCCCATAGACATACAGTAAAGTTCATAATCATGAACTTATTATTAAAATAATGATAATTTCTACCTTACAAAACCAAGGGAAAGAATTCATCAAATACCATTACCTGACTATTAACAACAACAACAATGCCAAGGGAGAAAACAAATAGCATAGAAGAAGGGCATTTCTTGTTTTTATTCTTTCTTCCAGGGCGGAAGAATACACACATCAAACCAACTTCCACACCACGTTTGTTTATATATAGTAATACACACATCGTCGTCCGATTTAACTAATTTGCCTGACCCGCCAAAGCAACACCAAATTTCAGGTCACTAATTCTAACCTTTTGCGTTGCTCTCCGAGTCATATTTCCACAAATATATGCCCCCCATCTTTCTTATATTCCCTTTGGCATTTCCATCATTTCTGTCTACACGACCAGTGGAATAAAGCTGCAGCTAGCTCATAATAACAGAGGAAACAGAGCAACAACAGAACCAAGATGATGAAGCCGCTACGAGTAGTCATCATCACAACAGTTGTAGCCTTCTTCGTCATCATCTCCAACGCCCAGCCCTTGCCGCCGGCCAGGCCCGATGGGTTCGTCTACACGAACGTCGGGCCGGTTGACCCGAACCCGGTTGCGATCGAGGCGTTCCTCGACCCGGTTTGCCCCGACAGCAGAGACTCCTGGGCGCCTCTCAAGCTAGCTTTGAGCCACTATGGCTCCCGCGTCTCCCTGCTAGTTCACCTCCTCCCTTTACCGTCAGTAGAATGAATCTGTGATATGAAAAAAGTAGTTCAACAAAGTAAATTCCATATCTTCCGTTCATTTTTCTTCTTCATTCTTTTGAAACAGGTACCATGACAACGCCTACGTTGCTTCTAGATCTCTGCATATCGCAAACTTGCTCAATTCTTCTTCCACGTTCCCGTTGCTCGAGCAGTTCTTCAAGTATCAGGTCAGAATCCTGTTTACAGAGTATCGTATCAAAATAGCCCGAGTTGTTGTTGGAGGATAGTAAGGAAATAGAAACTGATTTACCATTTATATGCTTGGGGGGCAAAAATTTTTCAGGACAAGTTCTATAATGACCAAACGAAGAACTTGTCGAAAGCTTTCATTGTGAAAGAGGTGATTGATTTTGCGACTATTGCTGTCGGCAATTCCCTCCAACCTCAATTCCAAGCTGCCTTCAGCGACATAAGAACCGATCTGAAGACGAGGGTGTCCTTTAAGGTAATCAAAAGATGTGGAAATCTTGTTTGTTAACGAATTGTCTCTGAACCACAAATTCATTTGTGTTAACTGTGAACTCGTAGCAATTGATGCTGCTTCATCTTTCCTGTTGCAGTTTAGTACATCAAGAGGCATCTATGGAACTCCTGGTTTCATAGTGAATGGGTTTGTGTTGCCCGGCGTTGGCTCTCCCATTGACTACAATGGCTGGCGGAAGATCATAGACCCATTGGTCGCCATGAAGAGGATGTAGGGCAAATTTGGATTCAAATGAACTTGTTACGAGTGTTTAATCAAATCGAAGGGATCGTGTTGTTGATATGACAGGAAATTGAATGAAACTACCATTCAACTTGAGTCTATATTGGTACCCTGCAAATTATGTTACTGGAAGTCTTTGTAAGAGATGGATGATTTCGACTAGTTCTTCTGCAACTGTCTTATACAAAGTCAAATTTATGTATAAAAAAAAATGTTTTAGTCGATGATATTGAAAATTGATTGAATTCTTCTTATTTGTACTGGAAACTAAAAAATGATCACAATCATTTTCTTTTGCTGCCACTGGGAAAGCTACAACAGTAATTTAATAATCATATGTTAAAATGAGCAAGTATAATATTACATTGAGCCGCGAAAAAATGATTTGATCTGAGTAGGTGGGAGGTTTTGTACGCCCCAACATGTGTTCTGTATTTCGTATTTGTTCCAGCTGGCTCAGCTTATTCATGGTTTAACGATTGTCATCTATAGAAGGTAAGGTACAAAGAGATTTTATTATGTTACGATATTTAGATATGTTGATAATTGCTTCAATAAAAGCTTCGTATCTGCACTCGTAAGACAGTTGGTAGATAATTAATTATTGAAAACGGTTGAAACAAACTGTTGACCTGCACAGTTTATATATCAATTTGATTTGATTCGAATAGGAAGCATTACATTGCCTATGTTTGGCCCGGCTTTTAGAAGTGCTTTTCGGCTTCAAAAGCTTAAGCAGGGCCAAACACCTCTAAAAGCTCGGCTTTTGAAAAGCCGAAAAGCGCTTTTGTATAACATAAAAGCAGAAGCTCCGATTTGGAGCTTCTGCGAAAAGCTGTTTTGAAAATACAAGATTATCCTTACCATATTTTAATTTTATTTCAGAAAATATATTTTTCCTTCATTTATATCATTTTAAAAATAAAATAAATTATAAAATCATATTATTTAATATAAAAGAAATCTAACAAGATCCATTTTGACTACTTTTTATTGTTTCGAATTTTTATTTATATTTTATATTATAAGTCCTTTATAGTCATTTTACACAACCGCTCATATTAAAAAGCACTTCTAATAGTTTTACAGCCAAACACTAAACTGCTTTTTTTGAAAAGTACTTATCTAAAAGCTCCAGCCAGAAGCTGCTTCTGCAAAAGCTACAGCAGGGCCAAACTAAGCTATTATCGACAGGTGTTATATATATATATTTTTTTTTTTATGTTTTTACATGAATTTTCTTATGTGATGTACGAAACTAAATACCAACAAGACAACAACACACACGCTCAGCTCAGGTAATGCTTATGACCTTCCATCTAACAAACAAAAGTGTACGCTTAATTACTACCGGCGAGTCTTTTTGCAGCTTGACTTCCTTTGTGCACTTCCTAACTGGTTTAGAGCTTTGGAAGGACCGAAGGAGCAATCACCAATATATGCAGCAGCCATCATCTAGATTCCAGAAATCCTAGTCGACTACTTATGTAGGTAGCTCGGATTTTGAGATTGGATTGGTGGATTCATGGATCAAATGGATTGGTGGATTCATGGATTGGTGGATTGATCCATGAATCCAAATGACATCCAAGGCTTGGACCAAAATGTAAAATTTGAAAAGTTTTGGTACTAAAATGTCATAATGAAAAATGTTAGGTACCAAAATGTAATTTTTCAATGATTATTTTTCGTATAAAAATATAAATTTTAGGTACCAAAATGTAAAATATAAAAAATATAGGTACCAAATCGTAATTTTCTATTTGGATCCATTATCCATGGATTGATCCATGAATCCACCAATCCAATTAGATTTGGATCAAATGGATTGGATTTAAATGGATTGGATTAGGTGGATAATTTGGTGGATGGATTGGATTGGATTCATGGATTTGAATCCTAATTGCCACCTCTACTTAGTACATAACAAAGATACAAAGTAAAAGCATCCCAACATGCACCATAACGTCATAAATATTAATATAATGTCATTAAGAGACACGATTATCTCTACTCTCTGGTTAATTGTGATTGTGAATGAAGGAGGGACGAGATTCACAAAACTAAGGTTGAGACTTTAGTGTCTTGTGGGAGTTGGGAGAGTGGTCGAATGGGCACTTAACACATATTGACAAGTCGGTTGGGTTCGCGGTTTGGTCCGGTAAACCTCGATCTAGACCAAACCAGACCAAGAGATCAAAACATAAAATAATGCAGACCATGGACCAGACTAGACCATACTTAACGATCTACGATCCGGACCAAACTATTCGATACAGTTTAGACCACGGTTTTTCCTACGGTCTGTTATATTTTCCCGCCCCAACGATCAGGTAGCATTAGTTGGGTAGTTATCATAAATGGTCACAAAACTATTCACTTTGTACAAAACGGTAACAAAACTTTAATTTTGTACATTTCAATAAAACAAGTTTGAGCGAATAACAAAAAGGTCAATCCGTCCACTCTCATCCAAAAATCCGTTACTTTTGCCCAATCAACATGACACGTCATTAAAAATATTAATAAAAGAAATTATTTAATCATTCGAATTAACCCGCACAAACCAACCGGTTCAGTAGCTCTATTCTCACCCGGTCGGCTGACTTTCTTCATTGCGACCTTGTGATTCTTCTTCCGCGCGTCGATTAAGTTCTTGCACTGGATGTCGGTCTTCTTCCGCTTCGACCCGCCGCTACGCCGCGTGTTGACTTCGTCGGCGACTTCCTTCCAGTTCTTCTAAGTGGAAGCTGGTTTGGAATTGAAGAAGATGCAGATGTCTGCAATACTGGGAAGTGTCATCCACCAAATCATATTGGATCCATCCAATATGCAGATGTCTGCAATACGTAACTGATAGAAAAATTAAAATGGATGATTGGATAAGTATCTGTCACCAAACACTTGCAATTAGGGAAGGTTTGGAGATTTAACTTCTAAATTAATAAATTTCCAGCCGTCAGAAACCTACCATTCCCTTCCCACTTTCATTCTTTCTCGTTTCCCCTCAACCTCCCGATCTCACTCCCGCGGCGGCGGGGTAGAGAAGACTATTGGAGCGAGCGGAGCTGTTAATCGAAGCATGGTGGCGATCAGGCGGAAACCTCCGCGAGAAGGACTGGAAGGAAGTCGCTGATGAAGTCAACTCGCGGCGCAGCGGCAGGTCGAAGCGGAAGAAGACCGACATCCAGGCAAGAACTGAATCGACGCGCTGAAGAAGAAGCACAAGGTCGAAATGAAGAAACTCACCCGACCGGGTGGGTATAGAGCTACTGAACCGGTTGGTTTGTGTGGGCTATTCAGATGATTAAATAATTTTTTATTAATATTTTTAATGACATGTGATGCTGATTGCGCAAAAGTAACAGAATTTTGGACGGATTGACCTTTTTGTTATTCGTTCAAACTTATTTTACTGAAATGTACAAAATTAAGGATTTGTTACCGTTTTGTACAAAGTAAATAGTTTTGTGACCATTTATGATAACTACCCAGCATTAGTTAGATGCTTGTTAACAGTTAACACTTAACACAATCACCAATCCTTGCAGTGGATGGATCTAGTTTATTGTCTGCTTACCTTCGTTCCGCAACGATCAATTGTCCAACAGGATAACCAGCCACAACAGGACTAAGACGTATATGATGCTCGAATTTACACACAATCATCGGACTGATTTATATGCTTCATTATTTTCTACAAAGAGAGATCGCTTTGTTAGCTTTTACTAAGCACATCGTTCGAAAGGCCATTAGGGTACCACACTAATCGAGTACAGGCAAAAAGGTTTCAGGTAAACCAAAGGGAGATGATGAAAAATAAAAGAATGCTCAACGTAACAACTTAAAAAGGGAGACTGTTACAGTTATTTGTTCAACCACAATCTAAAACGACCTAAAACACAACAAATTTCAGACTACAAAGGATTAGTCTAAACTGTGGTTACACAATATATGGGAACAGAATGTCCTAAAAGTTAAACATAGAAATCTCTAACTTGCCACCAAACTGGGCAACAAGCACAATAGAATCCCAAAAATTCAGAAACAACGAACAAAAAACAGATAATAACGAGCTGATAAAAACATTGCCACGAGAAGAAAACTGGATTCAAGAGGGACAAGAATCCCAGTTGAAAACCGTACATCTCATCATCATGCAGCAGCCTGGATTGCCGGTCCGTTCGATCTACCTCCACCACGGCCCCTTCCACGGTACCCTCCTCTACCACGGCCACGCCCTGCAGAAACAACGACGAGTAAAAGTTAAGTGTAAGATCGATCAGACTGGACATTACAGGGTGTATAGTAGAAAAAGTTACCACGGCCTTGAGGAGGAGCATCATAGAAGCCACCATCTTGCTGCTGAGCTTCGGGAGGAGGACCATTATAATAACCTCCTCTACCACGACCACGCCCTGCATAAAGAACGATGAGGAAAAATTAGTGCAAGATCAATCAGACATTCAGACGGGACATTGTAAGGTTGTAGTAGAGAGTTACCACGGCCCCGAGGAGGAGCATCATAGAAGCCACCATCTTGCTGCTGGGCTTCGGGAGGAGGACCATTATAGCCTCCTCTACCACGGCCACGGAATCCGCCACGTCCTCTACCCCGACCTCTGCCCCTGGCATAGCCGCCCTGGTCCCAACCACCATCTTCGTATTCCACGGACACATATCCATTCCCTGGAAAAACATTGGGATGTAAATAAACAAGAAGTAACACAATGTAACAGATAAAACGAATAGTGTAAAATAAGCATTAGGGTGTTCGTTTACACAATACCTCTGCCCCTTGACCTTCCTCTGCCACCACGACCTCTGCCTCGGCCATTTGGAGATCCCTCTGTCAGAGATATTCAGGTCAAAACATAAAGGCAGATATAGAAGAAGACTAGAGGAAAATATGAGTCATGAGTACCTCCTCCTTCATATTCATAATCTGTGGAGGCTTTCACCTGGTCTTCAGGTAGTGGGGGCTGATACCTGAATGGAACAGCAGTACGTAAGAATAGATAGATAAGAGTTGTAGCAACATACGCTGGCGGACCGACCAACTAGGAGAAGAATCATAATACTGAGGGCAGCAAATCAGGTGAAGAACCATTTTTGAGCAACACAATAGGAGAATGTTATAGCTTGGAGATAATCCAACTACAAACTGCAACATGTCAACTGAATGATGCATCAAATTCCTAATCCCAGATCCTATAACCTCTTCTTTTAGATTTCAAGGAAGATGGTGGTGTATAATATGCAAGGGTAAAAAAAGGATTCGGGCCAAAAAGGGATTAAGAAAATTGCAAGTGTACACCAATAAACATTGTGATTCACAGGTAAACTTACAGTATATCAAAGCACTCATTGTGAAAGGCATAGAAGAACTGGCAACAGTTTTAAAAGATACGTCACAGACTTGAAAATTTTTTGTGATCAAAATCAATTAAAACTTACCCAACAGAAGTTGTGTCCAATTCCTTCTTGGAGAGCGTAATTGTGATCATTGACACATGCCTTGTAGTCTCCAAACTGGACAAGGATACACGGTCAGAGGTAAAATACCATTAAGGTCAGAGGGAAAAAAGCTCATTCATGATTCAAAGTATGTCCTTACGGAAGGAGGCCTTCCTCAAGGGGCTCCCATGTATCTGTTATATCAGTGGACCCAATCGATGTGATTTGATGAAGACCAACAATCCTCCTCTGCGTTACAGGTTTAAAAAAGCCATGTCATCATTCCTTACTCCAACTTAGACAAGACCATGCAGCCTAGCTTAGCATTCAGAAAACTCCGGAACTGAACAACTAACCTTGATAAGCTCCACTATGGTCACGGTCTTATTGATGGCCCTTCCCATTGCCTTGAATACGATTTCATCTGCACCTTTCTCCTGCAGAGAATATTGAGCATGGTTAAGTAAGTCCCTCCTCCCATGCTTAGTTACCAAAGTGGTGGTTCTTATCATCCCCGTTCATTAAAACCTCCATCCCATATGTCAGATGCAAATCGCACAGCTAAGTTGGTGACAGACTCTCACTCAGCCATCAAATTATAATTCGTCCACTGAACACCATTATTAAGCCTAACAATCGAGGCTTCCAAAACAGCTAAACCCTAAGAAATCTTGATTTTGGTGCAACCTGTGTTCACGCATTCTCAGTAATCGCTTTAGACTACAAACTACTACGCATCCAAATCCGAACAAAGGAACACCAATTCAAACACGCAGAAGCCAAAACGCAAACAGGCCATACTTATACCGTAACAACAGCGAAAAACAGAGCGGGAAAGCCAAACTAGAAAAGAGCGATATGTCACACTGGAAGAACAGACTTGATGCTGAAAACATGAGAAGAGAAAAAGGTGAATCCATACTTGAAGCAGGCTCATGGCGTAGGAGATATAGCTGCGCATCCTTCCCTGGCTAGTAATTCGAATCTCGTTCTCATCGATAGGAGTCTCAGCTCTCGGCTTCTCAACTCTCTGGTACCGATCCATCTACACATCACAGTGAAAACAAACAACATAACAAATCGTCAGCGAGACCAACCAGGAGACGAATTCATAACAACCGGAACAGGAACAGTGAATCGGGGGAACTGAAGCCGCTTCCGGCGAGGGACGAACCGGCAGTGATGAAGAAGGAGAAGAACTAGGGTTTGGTTGAGGGGATCTGAGAGTGAGAGGGGTTGGAGTCTGTGAATCCGTACCTTTGGAAAGATTTTCTCAGGAAGATAAAGTTTGTTCGCCCGAAAAAGAGCCCTCTTCTACGGCTACGTTTCTTCTTTTACGCCCTAAAACCCTCTTCCAGGCGCTTCTGCTGCAATATATACCCTAGCAAAGCTGCAGCAGCTTCTCCTGGAAACGAACTGCCCTAGCCGAAAGGGAGGAATAAAAAAAATACCCGGGAGCGGCTTGGTCGTCGGGCTTATCCTGGGCCAAAACCCGCTAAATTTGGACTCCGTAGCGCGGTCATCAATGGACTCTTGAAGTGGGCTTCAGCCTGCAGATTATCGGGCTTGCTACATTGTAAGCAACATTCCTTCTTACCAAGAAAAAGGAAGCCGTCGAAAGGAGGAGCCCGTAGTTATTATTAGCCCATGAAGTGTTATGGAGGAAAAGAAAGAAGAGTGGACCTCGATGGGCGATGGCTAGTAGGGCTGGGAAAACGGTTGCGGTTTCGCGGTTAAACTGATAACCACACCGAAACCGCGCGGTTATTGGTTAACCGCAAACCGCATATTTTGCCTATTTTGCGGTCGCGGTTAGAGATATGGGCTGTTTTGCGGTTTAACCGCAACCGAAACCGCAAATCCATATAACCGCAAGGCTAACCGCAACCCAGACCCAACCCATAATTGACCCCCAGCTCAGCCCAAAGTTGACCCAAGCCCAGCAGGTAGCAACCCAAACCCGACCCTTCCCCCACTTCTCCCTGCCGTCGTTTTGATTTGACGAAACAAAAATTGAAAATCCCCTTTGACCCTTCATTTCGTCCCTTCCCACCAGCAACTGAAAACCCATCGAGTCGAGCTTCGACCCTTCCCATCTTCCCGCTGCGGCGCTGCCATCCGCCCGCCACCGTCTCTGGCCGTCCGGCGTGTGCATTTGTGGATTGTGTTATTTGGATATGCAGACAGATGCAGGGGCTTGGTGGAAGTGAAAATAGACAAAACAGTAGCTGATGTGTTTTTTTTTTCATGAATTTTTTGCGGTTAGTTCGAGGTTAATTGTCGGTTAGGTTGCTTAACTGCAATTTCGTATACTGTTTCGGTTGTTGCGGTTTTTACAATCATTAACCGCGGTTCACCGCTAACCGCGTTCTGCGATTTTTGGTTAACCGCTAACAGTGAGGGACGCGGTCGCGGTTGGCTAATATGGGTGTTTTGCGATTGCAGTTAACCGCAAAATTGCGGTGCAGTTAACCGCAATCGCACCGTTTCCCACCCCTAATGGCTAGTCCTATGTTTTGCAATTATGTGGACTATGATATCTAGGATAGAGATTTCTAGAGCTATAGTGATCGCCTTTTGATGGATCAATCAAAGGAAGTGCAATTGGTTTCCTTGGCTTATAAGGTGAGTTTGATGTTATTTACTTTCAAGACTTTTATATTTGTTGAACTACTTGTCATTCACATACTATGAGATTGTGTCTAATGCGTACTTTTTTGTATTATGTGTTATTGTGGCCATGTTCAACTGGTCATCCGACACGACGTCGAAGTACTTTACTCAATCTCGAGCAGGGCCATTTTGGAAGAAGTTCGCTCACTGTGCTCTTTTTTTAGTCAGATTCGTGTCATTTTGCTCATCGGAGCTATAACAGAGATGTTCATGTAGTTGCAAAATAACATCTTTCGTAAGGAGTCTGGTTGCTTATGGACTATAGATTTTGGTTGGAATTAGCCTTATAATCAAGTCGTTGTATCGCCTTTGATTGGAGTTTGTTTTGTAGTTGAGTCGTTGTACCCATGCCCTTAAGACTTGGCTTGGGGGGATGACCATGGTTGTAGGAATAAATTAACTCGGATTTTACTATGGTGCTCATAGTGCTTCGTGGTCGCCGAATTGTGTGCAGGCAATCGATAATCGTCGGATGGTCTTAAAAATTAGTGTGTATCGTGACTTCATCCGAAGACAATCACACAATTGTCGTGTTACTATCTCAATACATATATGAGTAAAATTAGAGTACTCATGGAGTATAAGATACTTCAGATATTCCTTGTGAGATATTTATCTATATCATTAATTAAACTAACTTTTGAGTATTACACTATATTCTAACCTCGAATGGATAAGTAACGGTTTTTTATTCTCTAAACCTTAACCCAAAAAGCATTCAATAAAATATAACAATTGATAATTCTAATTTAGTTATCATAAATGGTCACAAACCTTTTACATTTGTACAAATGGTCTAAAACTTTAATTTGTAACGAAACAATAACAAAAGTCTGAATTTGTACAAAATGGTCACTTCTGTTAATCTCCATCCAAAATTCCGTGAGCCTGGTCTAGTCAGCTGCCTTGTCAGCAAAAGAATTAATGAAAAATAAATCAAAACTCCTAATCAAACCAACCCAACCCAATCCTCTCTCTTCTACGTCTCCGCCATCGAACTTATCCATTGTGGTCCGTATCTCGTCGACTGTGGATACCTCTGCTGCCGTCAAAGCACCAGTGAGTGCGCCGCAAACAAGAATCAGATGGGCGGGCGATTAATCGAGTTGGGTTTCTGAGATCGAAAATGAATTTGGGAGAGATCGATTTGTTTCTTTGGTCTGATGTTTTGTAATAGCTAGCAGTTTCTTTCTCCCAAAAAAGGGTCGTTGGTGTCCCGCGTCCCTCCAGCCCTCGGCGTCGGCTTCTCCCCTGCTTTCCTTCCTTCTCAAGACCAGAAACTTGAGCACCGTTGATAGACCGTTAATTACAAATGTTTTTACCCCTGTTCTTACACCGTTTGAGATGTGGTTTCTCGTGTTTTAGGCCGATTTCACGCTAGGTTGTGCTTGTTTGTGATATTTCAGGTCCTAGTACGTGAATGGAGGCCTGGGAGCGAGTTTGGGGTCGATTGGACGAAGATCGGGCGCGAGGCAAGCCGATGAGGAAGCCACACGGGCACACACAAGCACCACACGGCCGTGCAAGTGACCAATGTGGCCGTGTGGGATTGTGCGAGCCTTCACACGGGCACAAATACATTCCACACGGCCGTGTGAAGGAGCAATGTGGCCGTGTGGAATTCTGCGAGAGAAAACACGGGCAAGACTGAATTCCCACACGGCTGTGTGACTTTGGTCGTGTGGGAAGCCTGAAATCCAATTAATCGATACGCCGCGTTTTGAGTCACACGGGCAACTGGGTGAGCCACACGGCCGTGTGGCCTGCCCGTGTGAGTCGGGAAATCTTGGTTTTTCACCCAATTCCGAACCACAATTGAGAAAATCGGATTTTCAGAGCAAAAACAGTGCCCTAGAGAGAGAAAGTGCGAAGAACACATCCTAGAAGCTATCTTGGAGCTGGGTTTCATCAAATCGAGCTTGGAGATCGTCATAGGTGTGGAAATCATCATCCTAGAGCAGATTCTTCCCATTGTTATCAGTATGACTGCTTTGTATCCTGTTTTCCTCTCTCTCTATGGAGTAGAACCCTTCTCTCACTTGGGTATGAAGAACCCTAGTTCCTTGTGTTAGGGATTTGATTGTAATGACTTGGGATGATTATACTGTTTGGTTTTAATCGAATGATGCATGTTTTATTGAATTGATTGAAGTCTGATCAGCTTTTCTTGATTTCTGCTGCAACCTGAGATAGATAGAATCTGATTAGGTTGTTAGAGCCTCTTCATTCAATAGTAGGAGATTGGTTATACGAGAGTTAGCTAGTTTACTGCTTTGTACTGGAATCCAATTCCAGTAGTGGAGTTTTGTGCTCATTGCTTCAGCTTTCTATCCCGGTGAAGACTAGTCGTCTGCCGGGTAGTTAGACTGAGAGGGCTTGGTCAGCTTAAGAGATTCCAAGCTACTTTCGGATCTTCCGCAGTCTAATCAACAGTGAATCAACCCAGGGTAAGTACAATTGAACCTAACTAAGGAGCTAGGGGGACTCATTCCCGAGTGACTCTTTCCTGCTTTAGAAAACCGAACCATTTCCTGCTTTAGAAAACCGAACCATTTCCTGCTTTCTTACTGCTTTTAGTTTTAACAACAATCAATCGACTTAGTTGGCTAGATAATAGATAATCACGGAGTAGGCAGTAGATCTAGACCCCGGGTTGATAATATAACTTGCATGTTACTGCATTCCCGGACTGCGATTACACTTGGTCGCAGTTTGGTGTTGTGTTTTGGCGTGTCAATCGTCCTTCCATCATCTCGCTGCCGGAGATCTCTTTCGCTCGTCTAATCGTCTTCTGGGTCGGTGGGTGACGGAAGATTGGAAGATTCATTTCTTTTGAGAGAGGCAGATCGGGAAGGCGAGAGAAAGGAAGGTTGGATTGAGTTGGGGTTTCCTTGTGTTTCGTTTAAGCCCCTAGGAGAAAGAAGGAACATAAAAATCGGGAATTGGGTCTGGGTCTTCTTTTCCTTATGGCAATTTTGGATTTGGGATTTTAGGGGTCGTTTGGTTTTGGTGATAGTTCAGGTGAGATTGTTACAATGTGTGTATTGTTAACAATGCATCGTTTTTTTTTTTTGTTTATTTACTTAAACAATGCACCCATTGTTTTGTTGATGTGATGGAAACTATCACTCAAGACGAGTGATAGTAATATCTCTACTAAAACTTGAGATTGTTGAGATAGTTTTGAGGAGATTGTTGGGTTCTCTTTTTGTTCCAATTATACCTCTATTTGTGTGTGTGTATATATATATATATATATATATATATATGGTTCAGGCTAGTGTACGCCCGGGCGTACGCTAGGTTAGCGTACGCCCCATTGAGTTTTGCTATATAGATCATGAATTAACTGGAGTTTGGGGCATGATACTAACCCTAACCTCTAATGGGTAAACCCCAGTCCCTAATTTTCTAACCCAAATCATGAGATTCGTTTAATCTTAAAATGAAAATCAATGAAAATTTCGACGAATCAGGATCGTTGATTTTCATTTTTAAGATTAAACGAATCACATGCTTTGGGTTAGTGAATTGGGGACTGGGATTCACCCATTAGGGGTTATGGTATAGTATCATGTCCCAAACTCCAATTAATTCTTTGTCTAAATAGCAAAACTCAATGGGGCGTACGGTAGGCTAGCATACGCCCGGACGTACGCTAGCCTTTGCCATATATATATATATATATATATGGTGA